TTATTTTCAATCGGAAAAGAGATTTAGTTTTGACGAAGCAGAAAAAAATAAAATATATTAAGTAAAAAACAGCGAGACAACTACATGGTTTTTTTCAAAATAAGAAAAAAAACAAACTCAAATAATATTTTCTTTCATTTATTTTTAGTAGATCATTTGAACAAAAATCTTTTGTTTAACAAAAAAGCTTTTTAAAAAAATCCGAATGTCTTTATCAATTTGATTTAATTCATTCATCGTTGCATTTCCATATTCTCGAATTATTTTACCATCTTGTTTTACTGTTGTATGATGTTTATCTCCACATACTTTACTTATTGTTTCAGTTTTGTTATTTTCATTTTGATTTAATGATTATTGAATTTGTTTTTCAATAACACATCTTTCCAATTATGTTGTTTCTCGTTTCATTGTTGTTATTATAAAAGTTCTTGGAAATACTTCATTAAGATGATGTTTTTCTATAGTAGAGTCAAGATTTTCATCACTATGATGACTATCTACAAACGATATTAATTTAAGAAAATTCGTTTTTAGAATAGGTTTTCATTTTTTTGTTACTTTGAAACTCTGTAGTTGCGAAATTGGAGAAAAGTCAATCGAAATCAACGAAGATTTTTTCAATTGGGGAAAATAAACCATTGAATAGAAAATCATCATCATTATTATCTTCCATTTTAGTTTTTAGAATGGAAATTTATTTCTCAAGGTTCATTTTTATTTTTATTTCAATATGAAGAAATCTATAAAAAAAGGTTATCGCTAGACATTTAATTATCTCTTTGTCTTATTAATGACTTAATAGATGCGTGTAGGTTACTAATTGAGTGAGTCAATCGAGATATTGCAAAGGTTGAATATCAAATGAAATCATGTCAATAAAATTTCTTAAACAATTAAAGTACTCAGTTGCATTGATGTCATTTTATAAACCGAGATTATTTATCTTTGTATATTATCATAGAATTTCAATGTCTACTGAAGTTAACTTATTTCAAACAAATGTATTGATTCTAAATTCTCGTTTTAGAAACGGATTTCTTTATCTTGAAATAAAAGAAAAACGTTCTAATGATAAGTTATTTTTTCAAAATGATAAATACATGCAATAAAAGTTAATGATAATGATAATAGAATTAGAATTCCAATTTCAGTTGCTTTTTGTAACTCGGCATAACGTCCTATAAAATCCGGTAAATAGGCTGCACCGGATAATAGATTTTCACTAAACAAGAATTAAAGATTACTTTAAATTAAATTCGATTTCATTTTTAAATTTCTTACCGATAAATGTGGTACATAGGCTGCTGCACAAATATTAAACGAAGTATATTCATCATAATTTAATGGATGTTCATCAATTGGATTTTTTTCACAAACATTTAATACTCTTCGTGTCTAAACAAAATAATACAAAAAATTTATTTTTTTGTTCCCCTTCTAAAATAATTCAATCAAAATTATGTTTCATCTAACAAAGAATAAACTCATTTGTTTCCAATAAATCAAAAACACATGAACAACTTCGATCAACAGATTTGATATATCTTGAGTGCATTAAAGATATGTTTTCTTTCTTGTTTTTTTGGTTTATTTTAAAATCTTTCAAAGTTGAAGTCAAGAAAGAATGAGAGTATTTGGTTTGAAAATGAAAGATTAATACTAAAACAGAAAATCTATTGAGTAACATCAGGTGTTGGTTCCAATTCCAATAAACGTTTGGTGAAGCTTGTTGCAGTTGTATAAATTTTTAATTTAAATGCTTGATTAACTGCAGATTTTAATTTTATGATTTTGTGCATTGATTGTAATTGTCAATGAGTAAAACAG